CCAAGCTCCAAATCAAACCTCCTGTCCAGCGTCGTCTCGCAACGCAGCCTTTGCCAAAATCCATCAACCTCCCCCAAGCGCCAAGTAGATGTTGCGTCGCCTCCTCACGACCATGAACGAGTCCGCCGCCAAACGTCTCAAGACCGGCCCCAAGATCGGCACCCACAGCGGGCACTTCCACGCCGACGAAGCGCTGGCAGTGCACATGCTGCGCATGCTCCCGACCTACCACAACTCGGAGCTCATCCGCACGCGCGACCCGGAGCTCCTGGCGACGTGCCACACGGTCGTCGACGTCGGCGGCGAGTACGACGCCCAGCGCAACCGCTACGACCACCACCAGCGCGGCTTCACCGCCACCTTCCCCGGCCGCAGCACGAAGCTCTCGAGCGCGGGGCTCGTCTACAAGCACTTCGGCAAGGCCATCGTAGCGCAGAGGCTGGGCGCGGGCGTGGCAGAGGACGCCCCCGAGGTCGAGCTCCTGCACAACAAGCTGTACGAGAGCTTCGTCGAGGCCCTCGACGCCCACGACAATGGCATCAGCGTCTACGACCCGGCCGGCATCTCGGCCGCGGGGCTGGAGAAGCGCCACAGCGAGAGCGGCTTCACGCTCGCCGCCGTCGTCGGCAGGCTGAATCCCAACTGGAACGACGAGAGGCCCAGCGATCCCCTCGAGGCCCAGGAAGCCGAGGATGCAAAGTTTCATGTCGCAAGCCGGCGCATCGGGGAGGAGTTTGAGCGCGACCTGGACTACTACGCCACGGCCTGGCTGCCGGCCCGGTCCATCGTCCAGACGGCGTTTGACAAGAGGGCCGAGTTCGACCCAGAGGGGAGAATACTCGTCTTTGAGGGACAGAGCGTGCCCTGGAAGGACCACCTGTACACGTTGGAGGACGGGAAGCCTACGGTGCTGTATGTCTTGTACCCGGAGTCCACTGCGCCGGGCGCCAAGTGGAGGATCCAGTGTGTGCCCGAGTCAAAGGACAGTTTTCTCAGCCGTAAGCCCTTGCCCGAAGCGTGGCGAGGTTTCCGCGACCAAGAGCTGGATGGCATTACCGGTATTGAGGGCTGTGTGTTTGTGCACGCGGCCGGCTTCATTGGCGGGAACAGGACATTTGAAGGTGTCAAGCAGATGGCCACCAAGGCGCTAGAGTAGAGTTGAACCATCTGATATTGACAACGCACATATTCAAAAGGAAAAGGAACCGTCGTAAATGCATGTGCATTACAGCATTCACAATATTCGAGCAAACTTCGCTTATCATTCAACTCGTTATAACACATACTTACTTGTGACTAGACTGGGAGCCCAAGTAGAAAATGAATGACGGTGCCGTACGCCAAAAACCCTGGTCTCGATATGCGACGAGACCTAAACTTGAGCTCAGACTGAGAACTACCAGTCATGGCCGATGCCAGTGGTTCAGGCAGCCCCCGGTGCATTGCAGCAATTCACCCCGGACCACCGACGATCCATCTGCGACGAACAAGTGGCATAGCCTATTTGAAACATAACAATATACAAGCGCGCACATGAAACGGCTCGACAGATATTCCAAGACTATTGCGAAGTCTAGATATGCGCAGAGCGGGACAGTTAAATGGTCGTGCTTTCGAAGTTTCTTCTCTTTGATATCCTTGATGAATGAAAACGAAATCTGGCGATTAGCACCCGTGCCGTAGCCCAACGCCCACACTGCCAATCCACGTGCGCGAAATCAACGGCAATATAGCTAGTAATGAACAAAAAAGAAAGAAATAAAGAAACAATAGGAAAATGCTCGTCGTGTCGTCTCAGACGTAGCACTGCGCAGAAGTATGACAGATTCAACTTACTTACACCCCACCCCCCGATTTCTTTCCGTTAATGGTGCGACTATCTGGATCATGAGCTATCGGCGAATTGGAATGCCATCGTTGGACTGCAGAGGTGCAGAAGAAACAGGCACAGTCTCTTTATGGTGGGAAGCAGCTGAATCGTCTCCTGTGATTGAGGCATCTTCTGCGCTGGTCTCGCGGTGGAGGAAGCTGCTCTCTTTGACCGGGCTGCCTGCTTGGATACCAGCTATGGAACCATGATGGCCGTGCTTTGGAATGCTCGCTCCATTGTTGACGGGCGACGAGAGGTGAGGGATGTTTTCGGGGACGGGGTGTTGAGAGCCCACTGCACCGGCATCGACGCCATCGCCTTTGCCGGCCTTGGACATTGCGTAGTCGCCAGAGTCGAAGTATTTGCGATCCTTGAGGTGTTTCGCGAAGTGGTCGGATCGGGAGGGGAGTTTGCCGTACAGTCGAAAGAGGCGCTGCTCCTCAGGCGAGAGTGACTAGGGGGAAATGATGCGTTAGCAGGAGATCTCGGGCATGTAGAAGGGCTCGCAAGGCAAGCAAAGCCCAAGGCCTTGTTGGAACCATGACAGTCTTGTGTCATTTGGAGACAACGTCATGCCGTGCAGGGGAGCGGGGTGAGCATGGAACATGACAGCATAGGCCAAAGGCAGCATCATAACAGTAGGATAGATGGCTGGACTGATGCTTACCTTGACGTCGACTTTGTTCTTCTGATGAGGATTCATAGTGGTAATGGCGGCTGTTCTGGTGAAAATACTGCTCCGGGGCTTGTCTCGTAGGTGCGACCAAACAGTATGGCCTAGTCCGTAAAGATTGCTGTCGGGGTAGCTGGTGAGGCTTGAAAGCTACCAAAGCTGTGGAAACAGCAGTCGACGAAGCCGAAAGGGACACCAGAATCGAATATCTGATGGGTTCGAATCCGCCGTGGGGGTCTTGATTGAGATGTATGGTTTCAAGAAAACGGGTTTATGGGATGGAGGGACGATGATGTTGATATGCCGCGAGGGGAGACGGTTAGGTGGTCTGTTGGAGTGTCAGTGATTCAGTGTGGGGGTGATTGATTCGCCAGGACGCCCCCCCAGTTGACCACAGTGCACACGCTCAAGCGGGGGTGGGTGTGTATGGTTGGGCAGCATCTCGAGTGTCAGGGGAGGGAAGGTACGCCTGGCGTCACTGATGGGTGTTGGCGGGCACGTTCATGGGTATGTCGTAGCTGGGCTTGAGGCAAGCACAGCACCAGTAATAATAAACAGAGGAAGAGCGTTGGACTGAATCCCACTCTTTCCCCCACCCACCACCTGACACCCTGACTTGACTACTCGGGCATTGCCTGACAACACCAAAGACACGAGCAGACGAGCAACTGCGCACTAGCATCAACTTGAAGCCACCAAGCCATCATTTTACCTCGGGTGCTTTCCCGTTCTAACCTGCCACAAACTTTGGCCATCCCACTCCAAAGCGACCACACCACTGCCCACTTGCAGACACTACGATGCTCTAGTTAATCTGGGAGGGGTACTCCGTAAGTGCCGTCGAGTCAGTTCTTGAAGAGGAGCTCCCCGGCCCAGACCTCTAAGAACAAACCAAGGTATCACTCGAGGCCTGACCGCAGCTTTTCATGACAAGGTGCAACTGTTGTTGACAATACCACCCTAGTATGTCCATGTCATTCACGCCTCGGCCATGCAAACAAGTCTCAAAGCATAGGGGTCAGCATTAAACACTGCTGGGAACCGGCTCAGGTTACGAGACGCTAATATGATGCGGTCAATGCCAGGGCTGCAACCAAGCGGCTCAATGAGCAATCATGCAATGCGTAAATGATACTCCAATACTAATCACCTTGTTAGTTCTCGCACCAAGTCAAGTCCTTCATCACCAGCCGGCATGGGGCGCAGTCACAATAACCAAATGCGACGTGTGAACGGCCCCGCTAACAAAGTCACCAGCTTGATACCACCTCCGTCAGGCCTTGCTTCCATTTTTCCACTACGATGCGCAATGAAGAGACGCCAACATGCACATATATAATATGGATCAATCTTGTCTGCTTCCGCACAGCTTCGCATATAAGGCCAGACGCCAACGTCGACGAAGACGTGAGGGAAGCATGAGGAACTCTGGTCTTGGCACATATACCTGCCAGCTCATATTTAGAGTCTCGACGACTGGCCCATTGTGCGATGCGATGCGTTTCGTCATACTGGCCAAAATTATACACTGGTCGTTTTGCCTCTACGCGGTGCGTACTGTACCGTTGGCACTGGTTCAAGTATGTTGAGGACTTGTGCAGGAAGAAAGCACACGAAGCGCATCACCCAATGGCGACGGCGACATGACGAGGCGGATGCAATTGCGACATGGCGCACAATGCAACGGGTCGTGATAATTGGACGACACCAGACAGTGACATGCTATGACGTGCTATTTAACAGACCCCCAAGTCTGCAGCCTTCTGTAGGCCTCAATGAGTACTTATTACCGCCGATTGCCCCCAGTGGTACGTTTGCTTTTGGCATTGCACAAATCATAAAATTCATTTGGCCGTCTTGCGTACAGTATTAATTTTATATTAGATAGTCCACTGCGGCGGGCGACTTCGGACGAGACGACCCAAACTTCGGATTTCTAAGCATCCGCCTATTCTGGTGCCTGGTCCAGTTGGACCGTGGAGCTCCACTTCCACGTTCAGCTCCGTGAGATATGCCCAGAGAGTTTTTTCTATCAAATAAATGTCTCGGCTCGTCGCTCGTGGCTTCACACACTGACCATCGGAATTGAATGCCAGCAGTCCGGGTCTTTGCTGGAGTGAGGTCATCGACACCGGCGGCATTGCAACTTGCCAGGCAACGAGACGAGATATTTTTTTGACTTTATTGCCCCTCCCTTGAATGACAAGCTCCCTTGTATGACGTTACATGAGCTGAGGTCCATTTTGCTGGGTCAAACGTAAGAATCTCATTCAAACAGCGCTTTCTGTCTTCAAAGTCTTAGCATCCGGCAATCGTCACGCCTCATTGCCAAGGAACAGTAGAGGACCGGGACCGACTGCACGAGGACCGTTCCGTCGAATCGACCCTATCGCCTCGTCACAGCCAAGCGGCCCGCCCATGCACATCACAAGGCGCCGCATCCGGCTGAACACATCCTCACACTCAAATCAACGTCATCCCACCACCGCCTGCATCTCGCCTCGCCATCTCACAACTATACACACAGCATGGGTCTACTGTAAGTCTCCGGCGTCTCGGCAATGTCGCATGGCGGCAGTGATAGCGCTGACCGGGGAATAACAGAGCCCTCGGAACTGCGCTGGAGTGGCCCGAGGCAAAGAAGCGAGCCGATCAGGTTAGAGAATGGGGTATCAAGGTTTGTTGTTCGCCGTCCCGGCTATATTTTCCCTCGCAGCGTGGCCCTTTGCGCTGACACTTCCTGCTCAGCAACTCCTTGAGATCTGGAACAAGGCCAAGGGTAAGGAGAGAGATGCCATGCTTTGGGGAGATGAGGTAACATTGTTTAAGCCGCGCGCCGTGCCGCCCTTTCGTATCAAGGCTGACCAACCCTCGTCAAGGTTGAATACCTGGTTGTCACATACGGAAAGGATGAAGAAAAGGTCCTGCTCTCTCTCAGACAAGCTGAGATTCTCGAGGCACTAGCTGCCGATAAGGAACTGGCCAAGGAGTGCTGCGTCCCTGCTTTACTGGACGGCCCCGTAGAAAAGTCCAAGTAGGTCTACATCACGCCGCTAATACATCATGTGTGCCATGACGTCTCAGCTGACACCTAATTCTACTGGCTTGTCGCGCAGAACATCTCACCCGCTTCCCGTCTTTCACCCCGAGTTTGGTCGGTTCATGCTTGAAGCCACCCCGGGCAAACCGTGGGGCATTGGGTTCAAGGAGCTGCTTGATGTCGAGCCCGACATGAAGCTCCGTCGCAAGATCGCCAAAGATCACATGTTATCCAAGGAGTACCCAATTACCCTGACGACATTCCCGCAGATAGGAGTACCCGGGCAATTCACCGATCCCTACTATCCGCCGTCTGGACCAAAACTTCGGTCCCAGTTTGTTCCAGACGAAATCGCCAATCCTCATATCCGGTTTCCCACCCTGGCTGCCAATATCAGATGGCGCCGTGGTCGCAAGGTGCAGGTGAATGTGCCTGTATTCCACGACAAGAACACTCCCACACCTTGGAAGGATCCTACTGTCAACCACGATCTTCACAACTGGCCCGAGGATGACGACGTGCGAAATGGTGCCGCCCCCGATGACTTCATTCACATGGACGCCATGGCTTTCGGCATGGGCAGCTGTTGTCTCCAGATCACCTTCCAAGCAAAGAACATCACTGAGGGCAGACAAATGTACGATCAGCTCAGCCCACTGGGACCAATCATGTTGGCCTTGACTGCTGCTACACCAATATACAAGGGCTTTTTGGCCAGTACAGATGTCCGGTGGAACCAAATAAGCCGCGCGGTGGACTGCAGGACACCCGAGGAGCTGGGGGAAAAGGTAAGCAGCCAAAACCCTGCCTGTTCATTTGCAACAACGATGAGGTGTACATACCACATGAATCGCTGAGCTAATCTTCACTTCACGTAGCCACTCAAGAATGATCGGTGGAGAATACCCAAATCGCGCTATGCATCCAACTCGACGTACATTTCTACAGATCCGAGGCTTCGTCCAGAATACATGGACCCGGACCTGGTGATTGACCCCGAGATCAAGGCCAAGCTCATGGAAGGAGGAATGGACGACCTCCTCGCCACCCACTTTGCACACCTCTTTATCCGAGATCCAATCGTCGTATTCGAAGAGGACCTCCAGGAGCTCGATCTCAACAAGACGGACCACTTTGAAAACATCCAATCCACCAACTGGCAACACATGCGATTCAAGCCGCCGCCTGCCGAAAACAACATTGGCTGGCGAGTTGAGTTCCGCCCCATGGAGATTCAAGTCACTGATTTCGAAAACGCCGCCTTCTCCGTCTTCATGGTGCTCGTCACCCGTGCCATGCTCTCCTTCGACCTCAACTTCTACATCCCCATCAAGAAAGTGGACGACAACATGGAGCGCGCTCACGGCGTCGACGCCGTCCTAAACAAGACCTTCTACTTCCGCAGGAATCCCTTTCCCCTGCGTCATTCCCGCGCTAATACAGCCTTTGGCGAGGAGAGCCGCCCCGGCTCCGCCATGCCTAGCCGCGGCGGCTCTCCAGGCCTTTCCGTCGACGAGGAATACGCAGAAATGTCCATTGATGAAATCATCAATGGCTCTGCCGACGGTGGATTTCCGGGCCTGATCCCCATCGTCGAGAGCTATCTCGACAGCGTCAATGTCGACGTCGAAACCCGCTGCCAGCTGGCAACGTACCTGTCACTCATTAGCAAACGAGCCAGCGGCCAACTCGACACAACGGCTCGCTGGATCAGGAACTTTGTTGCCGCTCACCCGCGCTACAAGCACGACAGTTTTGTAGACGATGTCATTACTCACGATCTCATTGGTGCCGTCATCGCCATAAGCGAGCGCGAGAGCGCGGGAAAAAACTTTGCTGGTCTTGGAATTCACGGCCTCCCAAGGCTTCTGGGCCGATTCAGAGGCGGCTGCGGTCAGGACGCCGTGATAAATGGAGAGAACGGCAATGGCGAGTCGGTCAGTGAATTTACTACTGTGGAAGAGAATGAGCCAGAGGCCAGCTCGCGAAAGAGGAAGAGCGGGTGGATAGATGGAGACGAAGAAGCCTCTGGGAGAGAATAACGTGCTGGCCCCTCTCCCCATGCAGCTGGATAATGATGGGATACGATTGGCGGCTGCCTGACATGTTGAGTTTCGCATAACCAACGCACTCCGACTGTATCTATATGAATTACAAAGAGCTCCAGCAATTGACCCGCTCAACTGCGGACGAGGACGATATCACATCAAACAAAAACATGATCACAGCTTTCTGGAAACGATAGGACGAAAGACTGAATAACTGATTCGGGCCGCAGCCTTGGAAAACGTTACTCCCGTGACCCCCATCCGCTCCAGGTCTGTGTTCAAGTGGGAAGCTTCGCCATGTGCCACAGTAACCCGGCGCTGCGCTTAGGAAATTGGCCTTGGGCGTTGACGAGACGGCATTTTTGCCTTGTGAACCAAAGACTCCCGCCGTTTCGTTGTTTTCAAAAGCCGACATGAACCAGGCCGCAAAGCCTGGACGCCATGTTTAAAACGGTCCCGACACGAAGTAGTCTGTCGTCACGAGAGAGCACAAGAAACGACCTTTTGTGTGACACCAAGCACGGCGCCAACTTCTCGTTTCCACTGTGGTGGTCGTCATTATTGCTTAATGATGCAGTGCGCATTGCGCAATAACATACATCCGCTTCCAAGCGTCCGGATTATAGTGACCGCATCCCAGGAGCGTCGCTGCTTCTCTTAAACGAGGTCGCGGCACGTTTTTGCTTTGGCGGGGACGAGATCACGAGGTTTATAACAAGCGACGATTCCAACGGGCCGCAGCAAGAGGCTCCAACATGGACATATTACCAGCTTGCTCCCGGAGAGCACCGATGGCGGCGGGCCCTCAGTGTCGATGAATGCAGCCCATTCCGTGGCATGTTCTCCGCGTCTGGTATTGGGGCGGTAGGTCGAAGAGATGGATGTTCATTCTAGCCGTCGGTCACTGCAGGCTTCATTTCAGCACAAACGCTGTACAGCCGTTGAGGCGTTGGTGCTGTATTTCTCGAGGGCTGTGTCTGCTTCTCTGTGGAGCAGTGTACTCTATTCTCGCAGCAACTTCTCTATCCAAATGTCCATATGCCACTCAATATCGCAATGACGGGGTAGCTGTCGCGGTGGCTTGGGAGGCAATCACCCTCCCTGAGAAACACGAGCTTGTTGAAGAAGTGCAAGAAAAAGAAGAAGCCCTCGAGCTCGCTGAGGTGAATTAAGGATAAGGGCAACCGGTGTCACCAAGCCAACTTAAGCTTTGCAGGACCAGCTTTCCGCACGTGTTTTGTACCTGTTTCTTTACGAGGCTCAGATTCAGCAACAGTTTGCCGTGACAACCGCTATATTAGTAGACGTCGATATCTTCGGAACGTGTCCTAAATTTTTTACGAGTGCATTGCTGAAGTTCCCAAGCGCTGTACACGAGCGGCGTTTTGACGAGACGATGGTATTTGATACCTGGTGCGTGAACAGGTGTGCAAATATCCATTGTGAAGTCACAGGATAACGTGGTTCTTCTCGAGAGGATGGCCTTCGCTTTCCTAAAATTGCTGTCGGAGCCCTGGGACCCTGTCTTCAAAATGTCCTCATTTGAAGCCTCAAGTCTTGATATTCTTCTGATTCAACACAATTTAAAAGCTATTTGCGCATCGTGAGGGTTGTGTTGCTTGCTGTGTTGCCAACAGCTACTGAAATCGGTCCCATTCAGCAGCAAGGACGTTGTATATTTCCAAGGTGGCAATAACTGAACGTCACGGCCACAGAGCTGCTGATCGAAATGAATAGTCGTTTGCCAGAACCGAAACCCCTCTCTTTATTCTCCGAGTAAGTTCTTAAGGTCCATACTTGGAGTAATATCGTGCTCAAGGAAGAGAGGAGGCGCTGCTGGTCCTGGTCCGAAACCAACCAAGGGTGAGCACAGTCGTGTCTCCTGGAACAGTCTCCTATTTGGGAAACAACCCTATGCTAGATTGCTAGATCATTTATTCTTATCGCCTGTACTTGTCAAGGCTGGTAGCTCACATACTTGAGTACCGGCCCATCGTCATGAACATGTTCTTCCGTACTCAACACGACACATGCGCAGTAACTACCGAGGTATCTAGGTCGCATCATACATGCCTGCCCGCACGGACCACTTCCCGTGTGCGTTAACTAGGTAGGTGAGCATCCAGCTTGTGCTCAGCTGCTGTCTCCCCCGTCTCTCCTTGTAGGATTTGGACGCTGCATGTTGGCAGGAATGTCTGGGTGTGTAGGACAGACAGGAGACGGATGCGGTTCGCCCCATCGCTCATGTAGGCAGAACTGAGCTTTGATGCTTGAATGGTCGCGCGGCCGCGTTCGAGTTTGATGCTTGTGGATTCCTTGAATTGCGAGTCGGGCAGGCATGCACTCGGGAGCCGAAATAAGGGTTTTTTGAGACATTTGAGCGGTAATACTAGGACAACGCAGTCCGGAACATTTAACTGCTCAAGGATTGCTCTTCCTTTTGCGCGTCTCCCACCCTGAGATCCGGTTGTGTTACTCTTCCCCGACATCACTCTGCAGTATTCCGTAGTTGCGAGCGAAACGTGCTCTCAGTACGAGCACGGTTCCAAATTCTTGTTCCCTCCGCTCGGACCAAGCGGTCAGGCGACGTGAATACTCGTCGACCGGGCCGGCCGCTGAGAGATTGCTCGGGCTGCTTGACGGGCACAATCCCTGGTTAGCTGGATATTTTTCCTTCATCCACGTATCTGGCAGAATTCTTTGCGCGAGGCGGGCCACGGAGTGTCGGTGAGTTATCGAACGCTTTGACTGATAGCCCACGGTACGAAGCCATGGCCCAAATATTACACAAAAAAAGCTCTGACGGGCGCGGTGGCTGTAGCAGGCTGAAAAAACTGCAGCCACACCCTGCACCCCTCCACACGTGATTCCGTCGTCTCTCCACAGCAGGGTGGATGTGTGTTCGATGTGAGAGGGAGATCAGATCGCACGATCGCCAGAGGCGCCGCTAAACTACATCTGGACGAAAGGTGAGCCTTTGTTCTCACAGGACCCTTGTATGTGCTACGTGCATACGTACTGGTATGTACTTGTTTATTTTGTGCGCCTCCAACAGCAGGTAACGGCGGGCGGGTGACGCACCTTGTCCAGCACACCGGCTTCTATGCACGGTGTACGTATTCCATGTGCTCATTCTTCCAAACCTAGGGTTGGCTCACGCCGCCACCAGCGAGCTGATCAATCCTATCCACCACGTACCAGCCTAGCCAGGCGCCCATCGTGGTTGACTGTCAGTGCCGGCCGCAATATCTGATCGGCAAAGCCATCGTCTCGTGGTACTGCAAGACCAACGGTGCCCAGTGAGTCGTGACCGATTGGGATGGGACCACACAAAATACGACTGAACAGAAGCCGTCAACATCGAGCAGTAAAGCTGTGCAAAGGCCCTGTTTCTAAAGTCAGAGAAGAGAATGAGAATTGATGCAACCTGAGCGCGAGTTTCTGCGGGCTTGAGGTGGGGAGTACGGACTAAACTTTGAAGGGAAGTGACAGCCGGCCCCTCCCCTTCCTTCCTTCCTTGACCAGCCAGAAACAAGGCTTCTGAGAAGTTAGTCAATTGCAGTCAATCCCTCGTCTCCCGCAGCACGGCATGTTCATCGCAGTGGCGTTGGAATCCAGATGCTACACCAGATCAGTCTCATGAGTTCCGTCCGGATAACTTCCCTACTGCCGGTATGAGACAACGCTGTCGCAGCCAGCCATCATTATCTGAGTCGATCTCACTTCCCATGTGCAATACTCTGCACCGTACAAGCACCGTCGCTGAAACCCGCCTTCATTTCTCACCTGGCTTGCTTCCACGCCCTGGGCCTCCCTTTAAGAAAGCTTTCGTGGGAGCCATGCGACTCGGTCATCGGAGCCATGTATGTGTCATGCTGCATTCCGATCATTACTTACTTGTGAGGCCCAACTTCATCAGTGGAATCAGGCGGGGCGTATTCGCTATTCAATGAATCCCGTCGCACCCGTTGAATATGGCGATGCATTCATTGTGTACGAAAGATGCTGCATATCACGTGGACTTGCCACTTCAAAATGAACTCTGTACTCAACGCTCGTCAGTTCAACTTGGGTGAGCACCATGGTCCGGAGTGAGAAGCACAACACCGACCCAATGCTCGCACTTGGCGAATACAAACCGACTGACAGTTGCCTGATCCTTGACAGGACATCAGGTTCTCCCTGTCGCTCAAAAAGCAGCAGAGATCACGACTCAGAAGATATCCCGTGGTATCCGTCTAGGATTCGATCCGGCCCCTAGCCGTCCCGTCCCGTCCTCAACGGCCCAAATTGCCTCATGTGGGTTCGTGGTGACTTGGCGTGTTTAGATTCCCGCAGTCATAGCTGAGACATGGGCAGCCACATTGCCACACAACAAGCAGGGAAAGAAGGCTGCGCAATCAAAAGATCTACCTAGCACGCTACGGTTTTCGAACAACCTTGCGATATTTGGTTTTATTTTTTTGTTGGTTCCTTGAACCAATATCGTAGGTGCCAGCATGACTGATCATTTGCAACTGGGTGGCTAAAACAACCAGGCACCCCTTCCTGTCAACTTACAGCTCCGCGGTGCAAGGCAATCCCGCCATGACCCAATGAATGATTGTGCATGGCATCAACCGGCCAGGCCAGCCTCAATTGATCGTCTCACCTGCCTGAAGCCGAATGCTTGAACCCCGAGACCAGATGGAGAGGTCAGAAGCCCGAACCAAAACACGCCCGAGACCTCGACGCTGGAGGCAGAGATCCACATTCGGCTAGGAGAGTTGTTGACATGAACTGCAGCAGCACTCGCCATTCATGCAATCACTATTGTTTCGATAGGGACGATGGGCAAAGGTTGGCTACAGGATGATGTCAAGGCGACTCTTTCCGCGTTGCTGGTAATCACCTCGGGCGACCTGACAACGATACAGGCCAGATTGCGATACAGAACCAGTGCGATTTGGCCCAGTAGAAGCGGGAGAAGTATCCATTTCGAGTCCACCAGGCGCGGCAAAATTTTCTGCATTACCGTACCTTATACAGGGCCATGGAAGAGGAGTCCCTCTGGCGCATGCCACAAGCCGCCTGATGTGTATACATGCCCAACTGAACTAGGCAAATGCCGATGTCAGGCGAGACGAATAGTACCACTTTTCTTTTTGGGTTTGGCTGTGTGTCACCGTGCGGGTGGCATCATTGAGGACGAATTGACGATCTTGTCCTTCACAAGGCCTCGTACTACAGTCATACAGGGCAAGCGATCTCCGATACTGGACAAGGTGTGCTTGCTTGCATGCATGTTTCTGATATACCTCTCTGGAGGGTTCCTCAAAACAGGGCTCGCTCGACTATCATTGCTAGCACTAACCATGTTTCTCAAAAAGCAAATCATCATCAACGCTCGTTCGCAAGCAACACGGGATAGAGCAATTGGACCTTATGAAAAGGCCATACACATTGGATGAACGGCCTTTCCAGTTGCAACTTGCCAGAGGCTCAAGGCGCTGGCTTGACATGCCATACGTGAAGCTGGGCTTGTGAAACAACAACCACATGTTCACATGCTTACAAAGATGTTCGAAGCCGTGTCCTACGTGACTATACATTAAAGGAGCACAGGATCTCTCACCGACATGGCAAGGTCATCTTATCAATGAGCAATCAGCATATGGAGACCTACCGCCACCTCTACTGTGTCGGTCCCGGGGCTACCTGAAAGAAAATAAGGTGACATTTTTCGAGGATAAACCGCCATGTCATTTCCTCCTCGCAGGTGGATGGACAGGCAGCCGTCGCGAGACGCTCTTCTCCAGCCCATCGGCCCAAGGAATATCGGTTGTCGGTACTCCGTATGTCGGGCTGTCTAGATTCAACGGTTCAGGACTCAGGAGCCACGGCGCAGGGCATTCCTCATTTCAGAATTGCCCTAATCAAGAATCAGTCTCAACACCGACGAAGGTTTAGCATGTGCGGCATGGACCAAGTCCTTGGCTGTGTTAATTAATATGCTGGTATGGCGTGCAGTCAGAATGCACATCAAGGCTGTTTGTTGTGTGGTGACTCTGCCAGCAGCCATGCGACGCGTAAGATGTGACGAGTCTCTTTTTGCGCAGGTCTGTCTGTTACCTGCATCAATCACAACATGCTCATCGTCCATTGGCTTCGTGTCTACAATCCCTGAATCCCCCACTCGGCTTCCGCCCAGCCTACCCAAGAGGGCGGAGTGTCTGATCATGGATGAAGGTGCAAAAAAAGCAGGAGTACGTACTCCGTACTCCGTACGGGGTGCCTGAATACAACTCGAGTCGCAGCAAGCATTTTGATGAAGAGGCGCGCATCTGAAGTCCAAGGCATGGCTCTGGCCACGTCGACGCGACGGCACAATTACTGCACGTCGGCCCGCTGGTGGAAGACAGAGGCAGAAACGCTTCATCCAGAGAGGAAAAGGCTGGGCGTTCTCGGCGACCTGGGTCTCGGAATTTGGCACATTGGCCAGCAGTCACACACATTCTGAATACCAAACGAAGCCGACGTTTACACGCGATCTTGGTAGGATCCCGAGACCCCACCCGGAGTAATTTTGGACATGAGAGAGCGCCAAAGCAAGGGTAACTACGGAGTACGTAGCAGTTACATCTCAGTCGACAGAAAGGAGGACAATTAGTTCATATCCTGGCCCGGATGGCCGTTGTCGCTTGGTAACCCCCTTCGGGGACATGATCGTCACAGTCCAAGAACTCGAAGCCGACACAGACGCAGACCGATATACCGGAAACCCCCCTATGCTTCTCATTTTGCCTCTCCGTCTAATCAATGATCATCATGGTACTCACCTAGAGGGAGCAAGCGCCTCGGAAGCCCCTCCTTTCTGCCCCTTGGCCGGCAGCAACGACATTTGCGCCGTGGAAACGACACCATTCGAATGTTGCAAATATCAAGTCACAAACTCCATACAATCCTTATACCGCGATAGTAACTACTGCCCAGGCTCAAGGCCTAGTCGTCATCCAATGATGGCTAGTGCTGTCTCACGGCCGTTGGTTTTCATGTGCCATAGGACCATGGGACCTGAACAGAGTCGGGAAACGGCCCCAATTCTTGGCATTTGCATTTGTAGACCCCGTTCCCATGTGCCGGTGCGCCGCAGCCTGTGTGATCTCAAACACCCGAGGAACAGAAAGACGACCTCCCTCGGTCTCTCGTTCAGACCCTGAGCTTTGGTTCCAGCCATGATACGCCTGAGTGAAAAAACTCGGCAACAGGAAGTATGTCTGATCCTGCTTGCCTTGCTACTTTCGTATATCACCATTCGTCCCAAGTGGTCGCTGCTGCGCCTTTGCAAACAAGACCCCTGCTCTTACCGTTGCGACCACGGTCAAATGTACATGGCTGAGACCAGGGAATGTAGCAATGTCCCCGACCAGCGGCTTATTTTGTGTTTCGTATCTGCCAACATCCCTATCCGATCCCCGCTAGCCTTCAGTGCAGTTGGTCGCAGCTCATCGATCCGACAAGAATAAGGCAAGGGGAAAAAAAGAAACGCCTTCGCCTAGAGTCCACCGCCCCCCCCAAAAAAAGAAGGAAGAAAAGAAACGACAGGAAGAGGGAAAAGGAAAAAAGAAAAAGAGAGGGAAAAAAAAGGGAGGGGGGGACAGCAAAAAAACACTGCATATCGCGCAGCCAAGGGTGGAGGTGAGCGGAGAGAGCATGAGGATGCTTTGAGGCCAGCCCGTCAGACATCAGGGTTTGGCAGAGATGCAGGTTGGGAGATTCCCAGCGACAATCTGACCGACGGATATCTTCCCCGAGCGTGTTGTACATATGCTGTAAGACATATTCACGTTCCAGTGTGTGTGTGTGTGTCCACATTATCCATGGGAGGTTGGGAGCTTGTTTTGCACCCAGGATGGCCGGACTACATACTTGTCAGGTAACGAACCGATACAGCACAGAGTCTTGCGGTGCTCCCATCATGGTATTTCTCTTCATTCGGCTATCCAGCCCGTCTGTACAGGCAACCACTTCTTAGGCAAGTATAACATGTCTTTGTCTAAACAAGTCCAGCCCCATACCCGTCGCTGCTCATATTCAAATCGCTGAGGCAGCCCGTAAATTTGTCCATAGGAATCCAAACACATCAACGCCGATAATGCCAGTTATTCACCTCCGATAATAAAAAACCCACATGCCAAGGTATCCAAGGTTTTCAAAACCCATGTACAAACAACGAAATGTGTGCGTGCTTCAAAAGTCGAGACACAAAGAAAATGACGAAAAAAGTAAAAAAAAAAAGTAAGCTTGGAAAACCAGGAGAAAAAGAAGGCAACATCCCATGCGGGCCTGAAATAGCGGCGCAGGGCTGCATCAGGATCGGCGCTACGCCTGGCTCAATGATCAAGCTAGCAGGCCCAATGCCCTTGTCCTACCGCCCCGCAGCTGAACGGGACGTCGGTCACTCATGAGATGTAATTTGAGACGTCGCCGTACAACTCCCCATTTTGTCGTAGAAGCCGTCGACATGGCGAAGAATAATATTACCGTGACGTAATTGCTGACCGATCAATTTCTATCCTCGGGTTTTGGACGAATAGATCGGGCTTCCAGCTGTCGTTTCCTTTCAAGCTTGGCGTAGTGAAGACCACATGCATTGCAAAGCGTTCTGGCACCGTCAGGTCCTCGTCTCCACTCGGGGGTATCGATTCTGTTGCAGCTGTGGCATCGGCCTGGATGAGCGGCTCGCTGCAGGTGCTGTTAGTTTTCCACGAAAACGCCACCTGTTCGACGCAGTAGGCTACTTACACCACGGCGCTTCTTCACCTCCGTCATGGTATACTGAGGCTTCATTCCGTTGTCGTACATAGGCACGTCTTGATGCTCCTCCTCGAACGCTCCTTTGATCTTGGTGCCTTCCCTGGCCCTCTCACTTTGGATAGATGCCTGAACAAGATCCTTGACTTGCTCCAAAGATCGTTTAATCATGTCCATGTTTCCCAGCACATCATTGACTTCACGCTCAGTAGGTAGTCGCTCGGGAATAGGATGGGAACCGTGCTGTTCCTGCGCAATACGCCCATACGCCTCGGCAAAACTGAAGATGGTTCGTGAAGCAGTCCCAATCTAATTGTTCCGAACCAAGAGTGTTAGCATTTATAGTCAGTTCATGTTGAGTAGGGGACGATTGTACGACGTACACAGCTAAGGGCTTCCTGATAGCTCCACGTCTCAAAGTGTCGAGGCGGAGCAGGTTCGAACCTCGACCGATTAGAATACTCAGCCTCTTCGTGTCGGACAGGCTGTCCACGAGAATCATATTGACCTGGAGGCGGCGGCACAGCATGCCTGGGTGAAATTGGATAGGCAGGTAGAGGGACTTGACCAGGAGGAAGATGCCCCGGAGGATACGGGTGCGAGGTGGGCGGCGGCGGATGACCATAGGCACCATTGGAAGCATGGGAATCCGATTGTTTTTGAGATTCAGCAAGGCGGTGCTGCGGAAAGTCGGGCTTTGTGGGAGGTATTTGCCGGCGGTCAGAAACAGGTGGCAAGCTATGTCGACCGTTGAAGGGAGGTCGCGGCGAGTCGGTAAACGCAGGTAGGTTTTCTTGACGAGGAGGATACGCGGAGGGTGTGTGCAGCTGCTGAGGTGAGTGCTTCTCAGATTCGAGGTATGGGCGCTGAGCAGATGTGAAAGGCGAGGGCAGGCCGGAGCCGGGCTGCATATTCGTCTGGGTTGGAGGGCCATACTGGCCAGATCTGGTCGCAGATATAACCTCCGAAATAGATGGCAGAGATTGGCGGCCAGGCTGATCCTTCTCGTCAGCAGATCTGCGGTGCTCGCTTGAGATCATGTTGGCGGCCGAGTTTAATAGTGGTGGCGGGGCTGCTCCGGACGAATGTTGTGGATAGCTGGAGTAGGAAGACTGGGGGTAGTGAGAGCTTGGGGCGAGGACTGTGGCCGTGGCCATGACGTGCTGTTCTTGACAAGGCCTTTCCAAGTGTTCTCGCGACGGTTGATACGAGGTTGGCGGGGCAGAGGGAGGGTGCTGATGATGTCGCTGGTGTGGTTCCGTGATGACGGCGGACTTTGAATGGACACTATCAAGGCGAAGAAAGTCTGTTAACGGAGGCCAAGGGAAAGGGAATCGGGAAGCTTGCGAGGAGAGTCTCGTCAAGACGCACCTTGGGCGGGATCCAGAGTCGCCTGGTTCCATAGCGCGCGTGGCAAGGGACCGAGGAGGATCTGGAAGGCTTATGACCGTAGACGCATCGGGCTGTGAGCAAGGACAATGCAGTCGTCTGTCGAGACGTTGGTGAGGATTCAGGAAGACGAGAGCAAGCAAGAAACGGGGGCAGAGCCGGTTGACGGGTGAGATGGACGGCGGCGAGACCAAGACCAAGACCAAGAGTCGGCGCGGCACCTGAGCTATCGTGGGTTGGAGGGTGGGAAGGGAACGAGGTTACGGCTCAGCGGCTGAGGGCAGGAGGAGACGGATGGATAAAAAGAAGAAAAGGGAATCCATAGTTGATAGCAATATAACAATACAATGTACGGAGTACCGACACCCAGCAAGCAAGCAAGCAAGCCACCCAGAGCCCGGGTTAGACTGGGGCAAGGTTAAAGGAGATCTGACGCGATGGGCGGCACCTCGTGGTGGCGTTGGCTGGGATGGCACTGGGGCAGGCAGGGTCGACCCAGGCGGCCAAGCCCAGCAGCAAGCCCAGCAGCAAGCCCTCTCTCTCAGCTTGATCCAAAGAAGGTCTCGAGAGTCGAGTCGCTGGCTGCTGCGTACTCCGTACTCCGTACTCGGCCAGCCGGCCGGCAGCAGATACCCTCTGCACTCGCCAGGAGCCAGGTCAGGAGTCAGTCAGTGAGCAACTGGCAGCGAGCCACCGAGCCACCTAGCCAGCCGACAAGGGTCTGGCCAAGACTGCAACGCTGGTAGGGTGGGCTTGGGCTTTGGACTGGGGGTCCTGTGGGGTGGAGCAGTCGGACAACGAGAGATGGCGAAGTGGAGTTGCTCAGATGAGAGAGATCCGCGGCACTGGATTGTGCTTGTCTCTGCGCTCTAGGGGGCGCTGCTAGCGAGCCTGGCTGCGTATTTAAGTAGCCGGGGCCGCGATACAACGTGGGAGACCGATGGTGGAGGGGGGCGCCCGAGGCCCTGCGAGGGCGTGCCGTCACTTGGGGTCGTCAGGACGAGCCCACCCCCAGTCACGGCGTGCGTGTAGAGATCGATCCAGTCTGCGACATGGCATGGGGGTCAGAATGGAGTCGGGGGATCAGGGAGTCGTAATAACGATTTACCATGCCATGGTCATCCGAGTGGTGCGCAGCCTTGATGAGCCGCTTGCCGCCCTTTCTAGCTCCTGGGGCATGGCCCTCCGACCAGACACGGACAGACCTTCTTCAACCTGCCTACAAATCCGGCCTCGCCCCAGGCCAGCCTCGCAGTCTCGCAGTCATGCACCCCGGCCGCGCCCGCGCCCTTGAATCTCATCTTTATTGCTCGGTGGGAAACATTTGTTGGACTGGAATGTCGGGATGGGACGCCTGAGATACAAGCCGTCGCGGGCAGGCATCTGCGGCCGCGCTAGCCCGAGAATGCTGTTTTATCCCCGCACGACAATAACGGCGGGCCTCCTCAGTCAGCAAGGTAACTGACTAACTGGCAGCTCGCTCGGTGGGCAAGGGATAAGCCGACGGGTATACGGAGAGTACGTAGAGGAGATTGGTGCTTCTAGAGGGCTTCTGATGGCGGTCCAAGTGGGACGAGCGTTGATGCTGTGGGTGCGGCAATGATGATCCATCCCAGATTGTCAGTTTGCGAGATTGTCGAGCCTAAAAGTGGGTGGCGCGATGGATGTGGAATACAATGTACATGCCAACGTAGCATGACACACGGTGCTCGGGCTGACTAGGGAAAAGGCCAAGCTCCGAGCGAGGCCCTCTGTTCGATCACAGCCTGGCAAGGGCAAAATGGTTGGCTGAGGTCAAGTATCTGCTTCATACCCTGCTCGTTGGCCGGCTGAATGACTGGCTGGCTTGCTTGCTTGCTTGGCTGCCAAGCTGCTCTCTGACACCACCACAGCGCGCTCTTGGGGTCCGTTGCAAGTCAGATCGTGATCCATTGTGCTGTCCAAATTGCGTGGGTGTGACGTGACGAGTCTTGTCTTCCATGGTTTGCCAACCCCGGACTGGATGCAGACCATGGTGAGTGAGCAATGAGATACGTATCTGGGCTTGCATCGAATCTAACGCAGGGCGTAAAGCCCCATAACCCACAGACCGATGCGTGTGTTGCAAGATTCCCGTGCAAGGTCCGCGTGTCGGGGGAATTGGTGTGAACAATGGGTGTGCTCGCCCTTGAGAAGCACCGAGTCTGCGAGGACTGGCGAAGAGTTCGAACGTGTGGTAGATCGAGGCCCTCTCAGGGATCAAATCGGCGGTGCGGCGTAAGGCGTATGCATTCGTGCATCCAATCCTGAGGTAGTATTTCGTGTTTTGCATCTTGTACGGACGGAATATCTGGCCGGATTTGTTGCTCTCAGGTCCAAAGTACTCAAGACTCAATTGCACCCTCGGTCAGCCAGGCGTCAAGTCACCTATGTTGCCTTACGTACTGAGGTAGTAGCAAGTCTGTCGTGATCGAGTTTTGAGTGAAGCCGGAATGTGACGCATTTGGTCTTTTTATTATTATTATTTTACTACTCAATAGTAATTTTTTCCCGTTTCCCGCCCTTTGCCTTGGTAGCTCGCCCGTGCTGTTGCTCCTGCTGTTGCTCCTGCAATTATGCTCGAGCTCCTTCCCACCCTCCTTGAGATGATTAACTACCAGGTACGGAGTACTCCGTACCTGGGTACTAGTACCGTGTCGGGAAAATATTGGCTACGCAAGGCAGGTGCCACCCACTGCCACCGTCCAGACATCTGGACATCTGGACGATGGATCGATCAGTTCTGTCCTGCCGCCCCACAACGCCTGCATGGCGCACAAGTGGATGGCAGTCTGCAGTTTGCCCAGCCAGACCTGTAATTTCAGCATCTGCCGCGATGATACTGTCCACCGTTGAACCGATGTGCATAAAACCGTTTGAAACACGTTTGTCATGATCTGAGCTACGGCGCAGCGTCCATATCCCCCGTTGTTCGACAACAGTTGCAAGGTACGTGGAGCCACCGGACACTCTGTTGCCTGAGCTAACGGCACATCCTAGAAGCCTCTTGGTCCTCCGTACGAGCATTGACAACATACGTATCAATCTGCAAGAGAGCCAGCCGTGACCAGGGTGCACCAGACGGACCAGTTGTGGCGGTAAACGTGAGCTGCGGGAGCATAAATGGGGGTGTCCTCGAACTGAATGCGTGCGGAAACCTCAGAATAGCTGAGCTGAGTATACTTCACTCCGGTACGCCACCATGCTTCTCCCTCAGGTTCTCAGTTTGGGTACAGCAACTGACTGCTCCGCATCAATTTTTCCAACAGATATAATGATGCCACGAGACGCAGGAAACATTCCGGATGGACCAGGCTTATCACCATCCGATCCGAGGTGCCCCAGCATAAGTGCCGTATTTATTGTCTGTGGGTTCAATATTGGCGGTGCTGCCAAGCAAACTCTAATAAACGCCCTGCACAAAACGGCCGGCAATGCAAAGCTGCCGGTCAACGATGATATAGGCATCTCTGCCCGTCTTGCATACGAGTATACTATTCTATCCTTGTTGCGCCGCTATCAAATACACGCGACGAACCCAACGGTCCTGAACCCGCTAGTTTTGTAGATATGGCGTATTTACGGGCGGGCCTTGGACGCACCAGCATCGCTGTGCGGCTCCTGGTCCTGGGGGTCGATTGACCATTGTTTTTGTGTACATTCGGTCTCCGCATGCTGATCAAACTGGACTGATCGTTTATGGTTAACGATCGCCTAGTGTCAAAGACGTTCCCGGCTCCTTTCTAGTCCCGGCGAGAGCAAACCCTCGTTGCTCTATATGGGCAGGTTATGACCTGGTAGGCTCAAAAACCCTTTCCTGTCCAAATGTCTTATTGTGTCTATCGGTACACTGCTTACCCAGTACGTGGGGTAGAAAAATTCAGCCGCCGAGTCATGGCAATAACATTGTACCCAGCTTTGCGCATACTTCCTAGGCTTTCAGTTATTACTACTAGACGGCACCATACCCTGATGAGTCAATGGTAACAGAGTAGATTGCTCATCTAACCGTACTCCGTATTCAGGAAACCTTTCAATAGCATTTTCGGATTTGTATCTTATGCCATACATCGCGCACTAACCCGGTGCTTCTTACAGAGCGAAACTAGAAACAGAGAGAGTGCCAATCGAAAGGAGGTGTACCTCCATGGCCCTGCGAATGGCCCGCAATGACCCGAAACAGATAGTACCTACAGTAGTGTAAGTCCCTAAGTAGGTAAGTACTTACCAAGTAGGTACGTAGTTATATTGAAGTACGAAACCTTTAATTAGCTCACGCCTTTCGCGATCTGACAGGAACACCCTGCCGAACTTTATATCTGCCACATGACACTTTACACCCGAGAAGCTTACCTAGGTAGGTACGTGCCCAGTACACCGGCTTTCTCTCATAAACAGACCACAAAGCCCCACAGGGGTTTATTGCAGATCCTTGTACGGGGCGAGAGTCCTTGACCATCCCATCTTACTACCTGCATATTAATCTGAGTACGAACACGTACGGAGGGGTGCTTGGACCAAGGAGCATGTTACTTGCTCTCAAGTGGCTAACAGGAATTAGTCATATCTGGAGATGGGAATCGAGACCTGCGATTGGGGGAAAAGGATGTTGACGTCAAGGCTACTTCTGGCCTGAGTACATACATCGCCACGAGGACGGCAGCGCTGGCGCTGTTTTAGCCTCTTCTTCCTTTCATTTCGATCATGAGGTCTCAAATATGATCTAACTTCAGGAACAGCAAAAAGGCGG